CAGAACAGAAAATAAACAAATTAAACGCCAACACACACACACGCGTGCAAATTTTCCCCTTTATTGACTTTTTTGAGGGGTTCAGGAGGTCTCCAAACATGTATGTTTGCAAAAAAAGAAAAACTTGGATGGTCAAATTTGACATGATTCCAATACTTTTCCGTTTTATATACATAAAAAGTTGGTAAGTAAAAAGGAGTCGGAGTCGGCAGATTTTTTGATGACTGCAACTAAAACACCAAAACTCCACGACTCCGACTCCACAGCCCTGCTTGCCACAATGCCCAAGGATAGTCTGAGCATGTCACATTGTCTTATCACTTTAAGCAGAACTGTTTATCTAAGAACTGTTCCTCTCCAATACTACGAGATAAGCATTGAGTGACCATTGAGAAGAAGCTCTAATATTTCAAAGGTATTTATATCAACACACAAACCAATTGAATCTCTCTCTGTAGGGAGATAAATATATGCAGACCTTTGATGATAAAATGTTAGTTATTTGCTTATATGTTGTTATATCCTTGAATGTTTTAGATATTGAATTGATGAATGTATTAGGTGTTAATTATTTGTGTTAAATAAATTGCTTTAATGTTAAATTAGTATCCAAGTGCTTCACTTCCAGGTTGTCATCTTTTGACTTCCTCCTTTGTTCTCTTACTCCAAGTCTCCATATTCGACCGCTGATGCGTGTAAAGAAAGGTTTAACATGAGCCAAAAGTCAAACGATGTCAGAACATCCTGATCCAAGGGCCAATAAAATTTTTTTCTTGTTAAACTATGTGAATACAAAATCATACTAATTCCTTTTTTATTACAGCAGTGCAATTATGCTATGCACCTGCTACACATACTAAATACACCAATAAGGACTGTGGTGTTTCTTACTAACCAATGTTGACAGGAGGAAAAAACAAAGCAAATTTTTATTTAGTACTTATGAAACCGTGCCGGTAATTGTTTTGCAACTCTAACACCAACTATATAGTGTATTCACTTAAATACAAGGCACATCGCATCATTAATTTTTATTTTTATCAACTAAATAAAAATTAATGATGAGATTTGCCTTGTGGCTAAGTGAATACACTATATAGTTGGTGTTCAAATTGCAAAGCAACCAAAGTTTTTCTCTCCTTGTATACAAATCAAACCTCTGACTACTAAAACTTATTGTAGTAATCCAAACTGATTGAGGATGATGTATGTAATATATTTTTCATTATTTTCATACAATTGTAAATAAATAATATTATTATATAATCGGCAGACACTAAGCAAAACTATTGTTATAAAAAGTTAAAATTTAAAATTTATAAGATATTTTAAAAAAATACTTGATTTGGTTAGTTAATTAATGATTAATTGTATAATCATATCATTATAATAATTGTAATAGCAATGGTTGTTTAAGTTATCATCATTTACCTTTGAAGATCAAATGGACAAACTTGCCTAATCCTTGAATGATCCAAAAAGATAAATACTTTAAAATTACAGAAAATGTAACATATTAATATTTTTAAAATTGTTTCTCTATATCCAATAACTTTTCACAATGTTTTTCTTATTAAAATATATTAAACAGTACAAATTACAGTAATTTTCAATTCAATATTAATGGTTAATTATTCTGCATTAAACTTTCTGGTCTATAGCAGTCTCACTTATTTACAGTTTTAGCTGTTATTCTAAGGTAGACTTAGAATAACAGCTTAGACACATCTATAGTCAATGCAGGAAGTACAGTACATTTAATAAAAAAAAAACCATCATTTCCACAAAGTGATATACATTGTAATATATTTCAATGTTTTGTAAAATGATTGCTGGCAGAATGTTATTGGCTTGTAAAACTTTTGATACTGCTAGGTCAAAAATACATAGAATCACCAAAATAAGTTGCCAAATGTTTGAAGCTTTTTTTTATATCTTAGTTGGTGTGATTGATATACATCAGACTTTTTTCAAATCTAAAAAAATTTATTATAATTAAAAAAATTTTTAATGTTTATTCTATTAATTGTTTAATGTTAACAAAAGTACAAAGTAACAAATCCCAAATATAATGACAAATATTGTTGATTTTTTTTCCAATGTTTTGAAAATAACAAAAATATCTGTCTGCACAGGCATTTGCAAAGACTAACTTCCAATGCAGGAAGTATTAAATATAGAAATATATCAATTAACCAATACATCTTAACACTGGATAAAGTTTAAATAATGCTAACTTCTCTCATTGTTAAAGGTGCATTGATTGATTCAGTTGAGTAACCACAGTGACTAGTTCATCCTTCCCATAGAAATATACCAAAAGTAAAGAAATACTCTCTAGAAACACTTCAGAGTGGCAATTTCTATAATTTTAATTCAAAGTTTAATCCTTTAAGTCAATTAATTAAAAAGAATGAAATCAAAGAAATTTGTTGCAAAATGTTTTAAAAATAAGTAATACGCAACTATATTTTATTCTATTTTAATAATAAGATCTATTCAAATCATGCCAAATTATACAAACTTTCCTTTTATTACAATACAAGGAAAATACTTAAATCTTGTTTATAACAAAATAACAATTGTACATCTAATGAAAAATATACAATAATTATATTTATAATTCTAGGATGAATTTTATATTTTTAACATGCAATGTACAGGCATGCATGGCCTATTTTTAAAGTGTAAGCTCAAAATATAAATTTATCTAAATAATTCAATATAACCGAATTATTGTTAATAATACTAATTTAACATAAATTCACTTTTTCATAATTTTCAGTACAATAAGCAGAAAAAATCATTAACATAAGTTTAAAAATATCTGTAAATTTTATTTAATGAAGGAGTAAAGCAGACAATAGCTAATACGTATATATACTGTAGTATTATCTTTAAAATTGTAAATTTTTTCATTGTATTCTATAAATATATCCAACTTCCTTGATACACATTTTTAAAACAATTTTATCAAAATCCTGCCAAGAACTCTTCTTACACATTTTTAAAAAATTTTTTCCCATTTTTTATTAAGGAGATTTAGAGGTTAAATGAAATTTTAATCCAAATAAGATGTTTTAGATTATAAATTTGCATATCTTTGAAGTAATGATGATTCAACAATTTATTGGCCTACATCGTAATTCTAGAATATTTAATTACTATGTATATTTTATCTATTTTCTTCTCTTGACTTTTTTATAGAAACTTATAAATTTAGAATAATTGAAATTTTAGTGAAAAATATTTTTATCACAGAATTAAGAGAGAAAATTTTTAGTAGTCATTTGTGTAAATTTCTAAGATAAATTCAGAACCAAATTTTAAATTTTAGTAAATTTTAGGATGGAAAAGTCAATTTTTGTCAGGTTAACTGCTATAGTATATATTTAATATACCCAAAAACTAAATTTCTTCTTGTTTTTACACTTAATACCTCATTACTTTCCTATATGAAGCTGTGAACTTTTATTTTACTTACAATTTCAAACCTTTTTATACAAATATATCTTCATTCTGGTCAATTCTTCATCATGTTCAACTGTTGAGCACGTTCTACACTTTTCTGATTTATCATTTATTATTTTTCTTTCACTATTATCATGTGTGTAAAGAAACTTTTCATTGCCATACAAAACTAAATAAGCCAAAACAGTTGATATATTAGATCATTTTCATAAATACAAAAAAATCCAAACAACCCAGAGCTAACAAAATTGAAATATAGGTATTACTGGTATTTCTATACTTAGCAAAAGTTCATAAATTGAGTCACAGAAATGTTTTGGACGTGTGAAATCAAATGAATCAAAACCGATCATTTTAGATTTACAATGGAAAGAAGCTAGTTTCATTTCCCGTTATGATTATAACAATTTGTTAATACTGAAGAAAATCATCAATCTGGTTGGAATATACGTTTTCGCCGAGCACTTATCAACAACAAAAATAATTAGAATAATTATAAGATAGTTTTAGATTGCAAACATAGTTTATTTTTATTGTAATCATACTTGATTTTCAATTTAATTTTATAATATTTGTAACCTTCGATCAATTTAAATTTACGCACAGCTTCATCCATAAAAAAAGTTAAATTAATTTACACTGCAAAAATCTGTTAACTTTTTGATAATTTTGATATTTTCCCTATCAGTTACTTTGCCATCTGGCGTGTCACTAAATAACACATCATTGCAAGTTTAATACCTCGTTAATGAATTTTTCCACCCTTTACTTCCTTTAACGCGTAAACACGTAGCACCTTCACTCTCAATACACCAGTTAATTTTTTGGGAATTATCACATCCACGTTAATTGAGTAAGACCCATAAATTACGGATCACGCACCTTTACTCCTCCCGAAAAAAGTTTTTTCGAGGGAGTAAGGATATACGATTGCCAAACTTTAGTGCAAATACCTACTTTATTGCAGAATACGAGGAAAAATCAAGTCACTTATAGGGAAGGTCGCGTATAAACTTAAAGCTGAATTTCGAAATTCGGGATGATTTTTGTACCGTAAAAAGGAAACTTTTGGACGTATTTAAACACAATTTTTGAATAACTTTTTACCTTCTTTAATTGTTTGTTAAATTGAATACAGTACCAATTATAATGAACATTTGTTAAGATAATATATATGATCAATTTTACAGCCAAATTTTAAAGATCTCAGTGAAAATTTGATCCTTTCCAATATAATAAGCCACAGAACAGTTTAATTTAAAGCTTTTTATTGCGTTTTTACCTTCTCTAACTCATTTACTTACCGAAATGGACGCATTTAATTACAGAATATCAATTTCTAAGCCAATCAGAGAGCAAAGTAAGCGAATGAATCTAGTCGAAAGCAATTTATAGATCGAATTTAATCTAGAAAATACGTTTTAATGGAGTTGAATTCAATTGACTCGATATTAAATATATCTTTTGTTTTTATATAAATAAAATGTATCAGCGAGATATTTCAGTACGTTTTTAAAGTGTAAACTTACCTTCATGTTATTTTTTTCCTAAATTAGTTAAAGATAATTTAATCACAAGTGCATCGTCTTTTTCCTGATTTACTAAAGAGAACGACCGGCTTCCAGATCCTTCTCAAAGTCGTGGTTGGATCTGATTGGTTAACACCAACCATCGATATCGTGTGTGTGGATATATATGATTTCAATCGTTTGATAAAAATTTTAATTTACTTAAAACGAGAAATTAATATATTATTATTATTATTTAGTAATTTTTATGAAATATGGTAATATTATGATAAAAATATTAATTTTTTGTGATTATCGTTTTGGTTATGACCGATTATACTACTACTACTACGTCAATATGACGTCTTTTGTGTATTTTTGTATTCAGAAAATCTTTAAATGACGTCAAATTGACGTATAGATTAAAATTTTCTCTCGCGATATATTCGATTGTGGGATATTTTAAATAAGAATCGAACTCGGACTCTCCAGCCCGCTACCGTGGCATGTAAAGGAGTGTAAGAAATATTTTTAAAATTTAATAATAATATCTATTGACGTGATCAAAAAAGTAAAATAAACTACAAGAAATCAAATCGGCATAATGGCGATAATTCTTAGTGCTTAGCGGGGAGCCCGTAAATTGGGGTATCTGCCCCGCTTTTCGTTTCGGTCCCCCTTTTTTCTAATCCCTAAGGGTGCCCCAAAGTACTAAATTACTGTGGTTAATAATAATAAAATCAATAAAATATATAATTATTCTTTATTATAGTAATTTGAATGCTAAATAAATATTTAATGTAATAACTGCGTACATTTCGCCTAACGCTTGCCCCTTAATAGCGGCTTCATTTTTATTATTAGCTATCACACAATGAAGCTAACGTCTTATTTTCAGGATTTCTAGAAAAATATGTTATTATAGAATATAATAAAACTTTTTCACCTAATTAAAATAGAATTTGCTACGTATTTGCTCATTTTTACTGCATTTGCATCAAATCCAACAATATGTATTATAGTCTATTGTATCTGGAAACTTACTCTAATTAGCTTTGTATTTACACGCTGTTATATTCTGCTTTTATTCATAGTCATATGTAATTTGCTGATACAACTAAAATGCTTACATTTCTATGGCTGCTCTCTTTCTTTCTATAGAAAATGTATTGAGAAAACAAAGAACATGGTGAGATATCGATTAAAATTAATATCCGGGAATCTTTCCTTATTTTAATGAATACATTTTTCTAAAAATGGAAGAATAAATCATAAAAGACTCAGATATAGCAAAAGCATTACATTTATTATTATACGCTTTTATTTAACTTGATTTATATCGGGTCCTCAAATCTTCCAATTCAAAATGTGATAGATATGTCCCAAGAGTCTCAGTTTTTTTACATCCGATGACAAATCATTTTAATAATTTTTTAGAAGTTGGCCCACCTCCATCATCATCTCAACCCGAAAAATATAACCATAGTGAAGCGAGAGTGGACCATTCCGCCCTTAATCTCTCTAAAAACTTATTACTGATTAAATTTTACCTTTGTAAATAATATTTTAAATGTAAATTATGTATTTTAGATACATCGTAGTGGTGTATATAGCGAATGTAGTTCAACCCCCAACATTAAATATATTTTTTATATTATTATTATTACATATAATTAAACAAAAAAGCCATCTGCTTTCTCTATTCGTACGAATTTTTATACGAAAATCAAGCCAAATTTTTAGCTAATGAAAACAATGGAAGCATTTAACGTGTATTTAAAGCTGCTCGAAATTCCGTAAATACTGTTTTATGTCATTGATTTTTGGCTTCTCTCGTTTCGGTTATTCTGGATTTTTACTTTTCGGCTGTTATTTATAACAAAGGGAATGTATGGCGATCGGTCAAAACTGATCCCCTTAAGATTTTTATATTTTTAATTATATATTTTATTTAATTAATTATATACTTTAATTACCATTGTTTCAACGTAATTTTTTCTGATGTACTTGATGTTCCCATGTCTTTTAGTTTTCAATTTTGTGTAAAACTACGAGTTTCGGGAAGATTACTGTACATTCAGAACTTTTCTATATTTGCTCTGCAACTACTACTGCCGTAACAATATAGTCTACTGTATAACTTTTGTTTAATTATATACAAATTTCCGGTTTTACGTTATGTTATTTCAATTCAAAAATATTTTTCTGAACGGAGTTAATGACAGGCATGACTCCATTGCTAATAGGAAAAGCATGTTGTACAGGAGCAAGATACTACTAAAATTGAGGGCATTGTAAGATGTCACAATAAATAATTGTTTACTTTAAGAGAGATTTTGAAAATTAACAATGATTCTGTTCTTATATTAGAATATTTTGGAAGATTAAATTCTTCATTTATTTGTTCATAAAGAAATAATATAAAAAAATCATTTTTTTCAAATTTTATAGTGTTTTTCCCTTGTTGACCATGTAAGAAACGACGACGAGGAGATTATTATTATTTTAAATTAAAATAACTGATATGTTTGAAACGAGACAGTACCATTTAAAAATAAATAGTTACAATTATTATTTTAAGTATCAAAAAATGTCACATGTAGTAACAGTTTCATCTATGACACGTAATATATAATCTTCCAATCATACAAATCTAACATCGCACTCCAGCAAACCGAAATTACCACCGTTTTCCTTGTCTCATTTCAAAACTATCAATTATTTTAATAAAAAATTTTCCATCTCTTGCAGTCATTCCTTACATCGCCAATGCTTCTGAGTCGATTAAACTGCTTTCTGCGCTATTTGATTATCAAAAAGGTTACCGTTGTTGCTTGTTACCTTCGCATTTCTAACGTTGTATAAATACAAATTTTTGGACAGAATAATGCGTATCGGAATATTATTTAAATACAGATTGGACAAAAGAAAACGTTTATAATAATACATTACGAAAATAAAAAAAACATTGCTTGCCTCTTCTCTGTTCAACTTGGATGCATTGCAGAGAAAACTTGTACAAGAGCTCATACATCGAAAAGCATTCTATACATTATTTTTTTTCTAATAAATCGACTGGCAAAATTTAGAAATATTGCCGAATTGCTTCTTCGTACATTAAATTTTTTGGTTATTTAATTATTAATCTTAAGATATATCCAAATTTTCCTTCCTCTGGAATTCTTAAACCATTTTAATAATTGACTTCTTTGTATCATTTATAACTTTATTCAAATATCAACAATTATTTCTATATTTTTATGTTCCTTGAACAATGATAAAAATGTTTTTTTTTTTTAGTTTTATATGTAAGACACTGCAGTATATATACAGTATATACAAAACATAAGATACTTTCATATGCTATATTTTATAATAAATATAAAAGGCATGTGAATGTATATCATTTAATTTCATTTCAAATTTACATAATTTCTAATTATGCAACTAATTCCAAATTATATATAATATATAACTTTCTTCTAACTTCACTTCTTTAAATGTTTAGATAATTTTTCAATTTTTTTAAAAAATTCTTCTTTCACAAAATATTTTAAACTTCATCAAAATTTTTTCTATCTGCAAGTTTGAAAAACATTTTAAAATGGAAAGTTTTCAGGGCTCAAAACCCAACTTTAATTTTATTCAGTTTGAAAATTCAAATTATATTTGTAAAGAAAAACTTAAAAATTTAATATTGCTTGCCTTGTATCAAGCTAAATTCATACAGTTTTTAGTGTAAATCTAAAATTAAATGTCTTATATTTATGATGAAGCAATTATTTAGCTTTTTTTTAAATTAATATATTCATTTTAATTCTAAAAATGCAAAAGTTTTTACTCATGCCTACAAGATATATGACAGAAATAGATATACCGTAGATATTCATTCTTTCCCTTATTGAACTCTTTTAAGACACTTCCAAAATCATCTTCCAAATCAACAGATTTGGTGGTCACAACACAATCACAGTCAATAAATTTATCTGTGTTTATGTTTAATATTCATATTTTAGTAAATTGGAGTCGATGAGCAAGTTATTGAAAAAAGAAAGAACAAATTGAATCTTACTTTTAAATTAAAAATAAATACAAAGAAACCTAATAATTAGCAAAGAACACAGGAAGCTAGCTCATTTTACTAGACAAAGCCAAAAGATGAAACATTCTGACGAGGGAAACCTTGATAGTGACTCGATATGATCTCTATCATAACAAAAATTTTAAAATTTACCTCCAATCTGCTGCTAAAAATTGCCCAGTGCTAGTACATTGCTAATGGTGTTTTCAATTTATGATAGATTATTAAAAATTTTTCACACTGCCATTTCTTTTACTCAAGCTTCTAAAACAAAGATTTAAAAAAATTACTGGAAATTTAGTTTATACTACCTTATGTACAAAGTACAATAGTTTCAAATATTTTATATTTACAATGTGATTGCTACAAATTGAATTACATTCTTTAAAATGGTTTTGTTTTTGTTTTTTTTTTTTTAATGGCCACTTTACCCCATATGATTTCTTACCTTGGAACATGACCAAAGTGGTCAATGATCACAATACACAGGTGATCACTGTATTCAGATATATCTCCTTTGCAAAATGTATTATTTTTCAGAGACCAGCTCAAAATAGTCAATTTAAGCAGGTGATCACATTAGCAGGTTTTGCTGTATTATGTTATTCTGTACCAACCAATGAAGTATGTAGAATGTTCCAAAAATGCTTATTGTTGGCATTAGTTGCTGTTTTTGTATTTTGCATGCAAAGCAGTTTTGTAATGGAAAAAATCCCTACAGATATCACTCAAATGTTTAGTCATCAATTCAATATCCAGCATGAAGGTTTCTGGTAGAAGAGGACTAGGAGATTATAGTGGACCTAGTTTTAAGGTTTCTAACATATATTCTGGAGGTATGGATGTTATCCTAGAGAAATCTGAAAATCAAGAGACACTCCCAACCTAAATTGTCACAAAAAGGCACAACAAAAAATTATGAAGATTAAATGTATGGGTGATGGCATGACTTAAAGAAAGATTACTAGAATTAAATGAATGTTAGCCACTTAAATATATAAAATAGGGTCAAGTGGGTGTAATCATATAATGTCACCAACCACACTATAAGAAGTTGAAGCCTGAGATCAAACAAAGTGATGTTAAGGATCGAGTGAGGTTAAAGCAATGCTTTCAAATTCCATTACCATAGAAGTTTCTTGGTGTTAAGCAAATTTAATTTGTAAGATTTCTTTGTGAATTTTTGATCAATTTTAATTTCATATTTTTGCTTGTTGGTCCTGTGGAGATAATTCTAAGATAGATATAATTTAATTTTTAAGCCCCCAAATGTTTGGAAAAGTTTCTTGTACATACACATATATAAAATATATATATGGTTTTTTGGATTTGATAAAATATCTTTTTAGTATATTTGAATTTTTGATAACTTTATTTTGTTATTGTACATACTTGGGTTTAGAAGAATAAATAGATTTTTTTTGTTATTAATTATAGTAATTATTTCAGGTTTTTGATTCATTAACAATTTTTTGTTACTTATTGCCTGTGTAAAGTCCACTAAATGAACACTCGTTTAGATAACACATTATTCAGAAACTATCCAGGCTTGTGATAGAAATAGATAAGATGTTACAAATCATTGAAGAAAAAGTTTGTAGATCTGAGGATGGTCATTAAATAGGACTGAAAACATTATTATGCAATCGTGGATCCAACAGAGATTGCAATCGAATGGAGCAAGGCAGATGTTATACAAAAAGTTGAAAATAGACGACATCTAAAGTATGCAGAGGCCTGGCACATCTATAAGTACAGGGAAAAGCGGAAAAATATAAATTTTCGAGAATCAAACAAAATAGCATCAGCATGGAAAGCAGTGGCATTGTAGTTATAAAGAACAAATGGGCTTGTGCAATCGAATCTGAGAAGATTGTAGAGCGTACATTTTGGAATTTCCGTTTGGCAAATTTAAATTGTTAGTTCGATTCTGAAGAAGGTCTGTTAATTTGACCGAAAATATTCGATAAGTTTTTTAAAATAGACTGCATTTTAAAGGTATTTGGAGCTTATTAATTGGTTATAGTAATGCAGGTAAAGATTTAAAAATTAAAATATTTTGCTGTTCTAAAAGGTTATGAGTGACTTAGTTACTATGTAGGCAGTTATTTTTATATTAGACTTGTGCTATGCATTCATAACTATGAACATTCTTCTCCAGAAATTACAAAATGAAACCTCTCACACAATTCTTGAAAAAATATACTAAAAAAATGACTCTAGATTCAAGGTCCTTGAAAAAACTATATGTTACCTAGGTGTTATGAGGAAACTATAATTAGAACCTGTCTGGAGACTAGCTACTATAACATATTGACTGATGAAATAATAGACATACTATTATTTACTGATTGACTATATTATTGACTGATGAAACAGACATACTGTAAATAAGTTTTATTATGTATAACATTGTGAAAAGATAGCTTTTTCTGGATGTATGTCAAACTGATTTTGTTTCAGGTTTCTAAGTAGTTAACCTGTTGACTGGTATACTTGAATTGGATAAGTCTAATAAGCTATATTTATTTGCTTATAGCATGATTGAAAAGATAAATTACAACACCATATGCAGATTTGTAGACAAAAATCTAAAACTCATTATTTCAAATAAATGGCATATTAGCCTCACACACACATTTCACATTTTGTAACTGCTAAATGTGTACTTCATTGAACAAAAACAATATTTATCTTGTTGACAGGAAATGAATATAAGACAAAAACAAAACTACTCCTTCTTCTATTAGATGCAGCACCATACATGCAGAAAATGGCTAATACTACTACAGGTGGTCTTCTCAAATACAATTCATGTCATTTGTGAATACATGTGTTACATAAAGTAACCAAGAAAGTGTAATAGCTGCACCTGTGTGTTAACAAATTAGTCAACAATAATAAGTGATATAATATGTGTATTGCTCTTTACATAGCTTTGTATGAAGATTGAAGTTTTTCTATACTTCTGAAAGTACCAATTAGGAGATTGAGTATGCAGTTTTTTGCAAATTTTGGTTTTATTATTGCAATTTTCACTGAATTTTAGTATAATAAAATCCAGGCTTTATTTATAACAAAAACAAAACAAAATAATGATGTGTTTTCTCCTTATTCCTATCTTCTTATGATCTCCTTACTTATAACAATGATTATAAATTGGCAAATATGCCAACATTATTTTTCTTGCTACATTTAAATTTCCATGTATAAATGCTATGAGGAACTTTCTATAAAGATACTCATAAAAGATTAATCAATAAGAAAGAAAATTATCACATTTATAATAAAAAATCAGAATAACAATAATTCAATTAATTATTTAATTTTAATTAAAAGAAACAAAATTAAGTTATTGACTATAATATTTTCATTTTAATATTTGCAATGCAATTTTTGATGAAATTCAAAGTAAATGAGATCAAAAATATTCGCTAATGATGCATGTTACTTAAATAATATCAAATCTTTATCCAAAATTATTTGCTGGACATTAAACAAACATTTTCAGCTACTTTTAGTAACCAAACTGAATGCATGAGTTATCAAAATGCAACATAAAAAAAGTTTAATATTTTTTGATGTTGCATGCTAACATGCATGAATTCTAAAAATTCATGATGACTCTAGAAATTCTCTAATTTTAGTTCCGGAATTAGAATTTGAATGTATAACTACAATGGCTCTGAAAGTAACTGAAAATGTTTATTTATTCAAAATTTATCTGCTGGACATTAAAGGTTTGATATTATTTTGATTTTATGTTTAATTGTGTATTCATTATCATATTATTAAATAATAATCTGGTTTTATTGATTCTATTGTCATATTATCAATAGTATTATAATTTCAAATAATCATCAAACTTTAAGAAGTTTAAAAAACTTTACACCAAATGTTTTTGGGGTGGATCATATCATTAGCAATTTAAACTTGCATCTATTTGCATTCTGCATTCTAAAGAATATAAAGTTATGTTATTGTAGGAATATATTTCAACAAAAAGCATTCAAAAATTTTGGGCTCCTTGAAGGTGATTTGATATATTCTGAAATTTATTATGTATTTATTTTGTAGTGTTGAAGTGTTATAATTGCCACATAAATCTTATTTAATTATGAGATATGCTTCTTGTCTAGTCTTGTGTACAAATATACGAGCACTAAGACGGCTTTTCTTTTTCACATGGTGTAATAAGTCTAGTGAAAAAGAAAAGCCGTCTTAGCCCTCGTATATTTGTACACATAAATCTTGTTAAATTGAAGTCATGACGACTAAGAAATGGACATAATAGCAGTAACTTTATTTTAAAATAAGTAATTACTCGTGTTTTAAAATTTTAATGATGTCTACATTGTAAATATCAATCATATTTACGTGAATTTTAGTTTATATCAACAATTTATATATTTATATAAATCATTTAATTCAGAAATTGCAGACAGATGCATTATGCTTCATTATATTAATGATAGAGATAATTAATGTATTTACATATTATCAGATTAAATACATAATTTAAGTGCTTATCAATATTGGGAATTCAATTATATATTTATTCTGTTAAATCATTTTAACATGTATATCTTAGATTAAAATTATATTTAGGAGTTTAGTGTGTTGTAAAAAAATTCTCTTATTGATGTGATGGATTGTTATTGCTCAATCAATAAAAGAATTATTTAAAAATCTCAAATGAACTTCAAATTAAATCAAATCCCAAATAATTATAAATAAGTAATTTTTCTCAAGCACTGTAAATCAGAATTTCCTCTACTATTATTCTCTTAAGAGTTAGAAGCCTTATAAGAACATCTTTTTCTAATGAGTTATCTTAATAAACATCAAACACATTATTAATATTTTGTTTTTATTTAAAAATATATAAATATATGCCATAATTTCTGTATTAAAAAATTTATAAAATGGCAACAGTAAGAAATTTAGTTTCTGTACATATTACAAGGTTAGAAAATTAGGTGTCATTAGATAATGGATTTGGCATCTCTTTTGTTATAATAAAGTTATAAACTATAATTAAAGTTTTTGCTCTAATCCTCATGTTTTTTAAAATTTCTTTTCTTTCAACTTTCTAGTTTTAAAAATAAAACAAAATTATTAAAAATAATTTTATAGAAAGTTAAAATATTAAAAATATATTTTATATCCTACTTATATTTGGATAACTTGTTCAAACGTAAGTTGAAATAAAGGAATAGTTTCAGACCGATATCCATGGTGGTTTGGAATCATATTTCTGAAATTAATAAATATATGTAAGCATGATATCGATACTGGTTTTTAATAAATAATATATAAACTATACGTATAAAACATTGTTATGTAAGATTTATGTGGTTTGTAGCTTTTTTTTTTTCTAAACAAAAATATAAAAGCAATGCAATTTTCTATAGATTAGTTTATCACTTCAAATAAAGACATAAATTCAATTTTCAAGAATGTTTTAAAAATGTAAAGTTTTTGAAAAAAATAAAAGCACTTATATAATTATATTAAAATTCTAGAAACATACATAAAGAGAGCATTGTTTTAAAATAAATTCAGAATATTGTAAAGAAGATGGCATAAATTGAAAATAACAATAAAATTATGTTTTTTGACTCCATAATTATAAAATTAAGAAACAATACATCCATTTTGAGAAATCATTTAGTTCATTAAATATCCTTGTAAATACTTAATGAAATAATGATCATGACTTCCAGAACAGAATGTGATGATTATTCAAAGTATAACAGAAATACTTAAATAAATAAGCTAACTATTTGATATAATATCCTAAAACTAAACCAAAATATTTTAATACCAGCAAAGAATGCTCAGCATTGCCTGGGAATGCAGGGAAGGGGTTAAGTTGTCCTCGTTATAGGGTAGCGTATGTCTCCGAAAGGATGGCAGAGTGTAACTATGCAAAATTTGATGCAAATCTGTCAAAGGGTTTGGCAATTTGTGCAGGATGAAATCAGAAGGAGTGAGGGATCCTAGTTTTATGGTAGTTCATGTTTCCCATAGGATACCAGAGAGCAGGAGCCAACCTAGCAATTATGTCACTCTGGCCAAGATAGTTATTTGCCACCCCTTGTTAAATATATGCATAAAGTAATTTTAATTAAAAGATCTGAGGGCTCAGACCTCACACATTTAATTATTGATACTTAATTATCTGAAATTATCTGAAATCTGATAATAAATGCTATTATCATAAGAAAAAGAAACAAAGAAATTAGGCTCAATTCAGGAAAACAAACCGAGAAGTGGACTGGAAGAAATATGTTGAAAATAAAAGAATTTACAATAATTTAATTAAAGCTAAAAAGAGAAGATATTTTGTTGAATTAAATAACAATCTGATAAGAACCAAAGACTCCAAAAAATTCTGGGAAATGATCAATAAATTCCGTTGTTTTATTGTACAGACAGAGAGACTTGTCATTGTGCCATTTGTGAAATGGCATAATTACTTTGATAGTTTTTCAATTAAGTATAGGGATAAGATGGAAAGCACAAAAATGGAAGAACCAAAAGAGGAAGAATTACCTATGGAAGAGATCTTTAGTGTTCAAGAGTTACAGTTTTATATTAAGAAGCTAAAAATCAAATCTGCACCAGGAAATGATGGTATTCCTAATAAAGTGATTAAAAATTTAACAATTCCAATTCTAGATTATATCGTCAGCTTATATAATAAATTCTATAATAAAGGAGTTATTCTGATTACATGGAATCGGGTAATATTTCAAATGATATACAAAAAAGGAGATAAATTGAATCCAGAAAACTACCGCCTGATTGTGTTACTATCGACGTTCCATAAGCTCTTTACTTCAATGTTGGCTAGAAGATTTAACGAATGGCTAGACCATGAGAATTTGAGGAATCCTACTCAATTTGCCTTCATTAGAAAAGGTGGAACTCAACTAACATTGTTTATATTACTGGCTATAATCCAGATTCAACTCGAAAGGAAAAAACAAAGTATATGCATTATTTTTGGACCTAGATAAGGCCTACGATTCAATTAGTATAAGAGCATTACAAAACAAAATGTCTCAATTTCATGTGGATAATTCAATGATAAAATTAACTGGCTTATTATTCAGCCATTATGATGCAATTATTAGACACAATGATGAACAAGGTTATCCCTATCCGATAGACCGAGGGTTGTTACAGGGAAACCAGTGGTTTCCACATTTGTTTAACTTTTTTACCTTTGATATTAATAATTATTTTGATAAAGAAGATGACAGATTCATGATAGGCGACACTGATTCACTCTGTTTCTTATGCAGACGACATAGTTATCATTGTGCCCAGAGCAGTAGCTCTTAATAGAAAAAATTCAAGTAATAACCAAATATTTCGAACAATTGAGAATAAAGATTAACCCAAAAAAATCAAATATAATGATTTTTAGAAATGGAGCTAAACTCCCCAGGAGAACTATGTCTTTCTACATTAACAATATTGAATTAAAACTGGTCAATGAAATTAAGTTTCTGGGGATTATCTTGACACCTTTACTGTCCTTTGACAGACATACTAGGATGATTAAAGCTAATAGAATGATTAATGGTTTAATGAAATTGTTTGCTAAGACACATCTAAGAAATATACAAACACAGTTTAACTTATTCAATTCAATTGTATATAATTCAGTGAGCTACGCATCACCATTATGGTGTATGGCCAACTATCAGAAACTGGAGATTATCCAGAACAAATTTATTTGAAGATTGTTTCGTTTGGAATATAAAATTCCAGGGAGTGCTTTAAGGTTAGAAGTAAGCAGATACAGTCCCACTGCGTTATTTATCAAGAGAAGTATGATGCTGTTAATGAAGATAAGAGATAGTGGAGATTTTTCATAAGTCTTCTGTACAGAAGAATTCTAAAAGGAATTGGATAGCTGAAATTTCAAAAGTGATCAATAGTTTTGGTTTCTCAATTGCTCCATTTATCTTCTCACTGAATCTAAGTGAAGATTTGTGTAGTCAACTAACGCGCAGTATGTTAGACATCCTATTATCACGTGACGTAGAGGACAACCGTTCATGCTTAATACCAAACTGGTATGGTACATTATTGAACTATCCAAATATTAACAATTATATTCTATTGAATTTACCTTTTGTAATAAAATGGTTTTTCATTCAAATACGTCTAAATTCAGAAATATTAATGTTAAATAATAAGTTCTACTCATACACTGATAATTTATGTCCTAGATGTAAATTTAATAAAAATATTGACAAGTGACAATTTTTGCACTATGCAGCATGATCCCTGGTTACACTGTAAGATCATTACTGTGTTGTTTTTATAGAAAAAAAACAACCATTAAACTGAAAGTAACTCCAAAGTCTCTCTCTTACAGCATTGTAAAAGGCTATAAAATCATTGCATCTGGATTTTGAGTTTGATTCTTAGTCTTGATCACAGTGTAATAAATGTGAATTCTAGTGAATAAAATATCAGCTATTCCATCATTTTAAATATTTTTTATAATCACATTTCAGATTCTTGCATAAATAAGAATTGCAAATGTATTTTAGAATATAGCATTTATCAATATTCTTCTCTAATTGCTTTCCAACTAAGCAATTTAAAAAATATATTCATCACAACATAACAGATTTTTTATTGATAAAAACAGGAAATAAACAATTTTACAAGACATTAATTAAATATAATTGTAAGCAAAATATTTTGAAAATAATTACTATTTTTATAACTTAAAAGTAAGATTTTCGTTATCACAAATTAATTTCTAAAAATATCTTACAATTTAGAGATTTTTTCATTATTAATAAACTAAAATAATAGAAATAAATAAAAATCTATAGTAATTACTTAGACTCCTACAGAATTTTGTTATAAATATTGCAATATTCAATGTTAATTTATTGAAATGTATAAAAGTTGAAAACCTTAAAAATATAAAACATTTTATACAAATTACTGGAATAATGCATTTGAAACAGAATCCAAGTGAATAATTTGAATAATATAGTGCCAGATCAATTCTCTGAAACATTCAATGATTAAAACAATCAATTGAACATATGGAATATTTTTATGCTGCAACTGAATTCATTTATTATGCCGATAAACTGAATTACCGTATAAAACCAGTCTTTAATTTACAGATGTTTGGTTGATCATTTTATATGGAATGTTATAGTTATGTGATTAATATATAATTAATTAATTATTGAATATTTATGTATCTGTGTACTATACATCCAATATTAATACAATAATTTAAATGGAAATTTTCCCCTGCTTAATGAATGTGCAGCCATTAGTAAAAATTATTTTCAGGAATTATTGTCCTTTATATTATTCAGAGAGGTTTTGAATGGTATAATAGTAACCTGTAATTAATACAACAATACACACAGTAATTACTATACAGTATTTATATGTTATAATAAATATCCAATATAAAAGTATATATTAATGTGTTAATATTTTATTATACTTTATTAAAATAGTGTGTGTACAGGTATGTAATTATCATCAGAGGATAGAGTGCACAAGATTTTTTTAAAGCCATTGATATAATCATAAAAGTTTAATCATTTTAAACAGTTATGACAAATAAGAACTTTAGAATCTGAAAATATTAGAAAAGTTTTGATTCATGTTTAATTAAAACTGTAATAAGACAAAATATAGCTATTTTTAAAGTATTAAAATTCAGTTAAAAACAGATAGATATGTTCAATTTATTACAATTAAGTATCTTCAGGATTGCTTTGGAACAAGAATAGTTGAACATTTTTTTATTTTAATTGAATTTTTACACTTAAAATATGTTTTCATGTAAGTTATTTATGTAAAATGTTTCTCATTATTAACATTATTTCATAAACTATAAATAAAACACAATTAAGAAGTCATATTAAATGAATTACATTATTAAAAATTTGTTTTTATATTCAGTTTATAATACATTGGTATAAAATCATCACTATTATTTTGGATCCAGTAAGTTTTAATTTCAAATAATTTTTTTATGATATTCTCTACAAATGGTAAATGATTCATTACTATCATTTCTGTAAATCTTTTATTAATTGTAAAAACCATTTTTTACATAATACTAAGAGAAAACACTTTCTTATACTTGTGATGTTTTCATGCCTAAAAACCATACAAAGTACATTGACTAAATAATAATTTTAATATTCTTAAAACTATTTATTTTTCAATACTTAAAATGTTAAATTA